GCTTTAGATGGAAACTGTCCATTCATATTTCCAAAAGCTCATCACTGTTATCAGAGCTCAGGGTAAGTAGCTCAGAGCTGCAGCCAGTGAAAAGATTTTCAGAAATCTCTTGCTTTGTTTCCATCGAGCCTGCGGGCTTAGATAATGTTCCCATTCTCTTTTCATGCCCTCCAAGTTCCGACAATTCCATGGGAGGAACAGGAAGGGTTTCAGGGCACACTGGAAGGAAATAATGTTCCTGAGCTCCGCACCCCAGTGCTATTCTGGCCCTCCTGGTGCCTCTGGGGGAGGTAGGTAGCGCGTGTGCCCCAGCCATGCCCAACACTGCAATTATGGGACAAACTTCCTGACTCGGCCTGGGTGTTTCTGCTGCGGCCCAGCCTGCTTTTCTGTATGGTATGAATAGCTTGTTTTCCTGTTCATAAAACATGTGTTGTTTTGGAAACTTAAATGATTTCCCTGACCTCGCAGTGAGAGAACAGCTCCCAGAGAGACGTGGGGAAGAAAGAATAACAAACAGGCCTTTTCCATATTGGAGAGAAGCAGCAGGGTTCCTCATCCATGGCTCTGCCATGTGGCCAGCACAGCGCCCAGCCCCTAGTGCCAGGAAGCACCTCAGTACGGCTTGGCCTTCTTGCTGACAGTGCCAGGGCCTTCCCAATCTCACACTTCTTTCAGGCCCTGCTGCTGCTCCCTCTGAGTCCTCTTGCAGCAGCACCCTTGCGGCTTGGGCTTGCAGCACGGGGCTCTGCACGGCTGCTGCTCTGGAGAGCACTGCCCCTCCGCCCGCCAGCCAGGCCTCGCGCGCAGCTTCGGACCTGCCCCTGCTGCTGCCCGACTCACTTGGCAAAGTTGGCGAGGTTCTGAGTGACCTTGGCAATAAGGGTCAAAGTGCGTGCAGTGCGGTCGTCCGGGTACTCCTGGAGGAGACTGAAGAGAGAAGGGGACATGATGGCTGGACAGAGGAATCGGAGGAATAAGGAGGCACTGATCAGACGCTCACTGATGTCAGGGCGGCCACGATTACTGCATTCTTGTCTCCATGAGGCAAAAACTTCTTTGAGCTCCCTTGGGAAGACACTGAAATGACACAAGGTTCAGAGATGGTAAATTCAATGCCAGGGGTTCAAGCTGTCACACAGCAGTAGCTCAGCATGGCACAAATCAGCCCGAGGGCTCAACACACAGACTCTGTACCAAGGTTGAGCCCTCTTGCCCTGTTGAGCCACCACAGCCCAACTGCCTGTACCAGTTACAGGTTCTTGCCCTTATTTTGCAGGGCTCCTATTAGAAGGAGACTCAAACCACAGGGTGAAGGGTCTGAGCCCCTGCCTGGGGCACTGACACAGCTGGTGTTTGGAGGGAGGGATGTGCAAATTGTAATACTCTTGCTCAGGCATTTGGGTCAAATGCCACCTTGACTGGTCTAACTGCAGAACCTCAGCAGGGCTATTCCCGACTGGTAACACTGCACAGAATCCAGCCTGGCTTTCCTCAATTCCAGAATTCTCATGGGGCAAACAGCTCCAGCTGCAGCAGCCCTTATCACCAGAAAACTTGCTGCCTGTTTCTCCTTGGGCCCTCCCCAGCTCCTCGCTCCCACCTTATCCTGTTCCCATTATTATTTATTCAGCCGGGTACACCCACACGCAGCCAGGCCGACAGTGCCTCTGTCACACTGGGCCACTCTCTGCCAGGCCTTCGGGACAGCCCCAGTGACCACCTGCGCAGCCCCGCAGCCTCGTGCTTACCCACGAGCTGCAAGCAGAGTGGGCAGGGGGGCAGACTCCATTTTAGGCTATAAATCACCTTAGCAAAGGGCCATTTCAAAGGAGAGTTTCTCTGCTTTGCTGCAGGGAAGAGCTGGGATAAGCAAAGCAGCGTGAACAGGCTCGTAACAAGCTGGAGCCCTTCTCTAGGCCTGACTGTCCTGGGGCTGAATCTCAAGCAAGTCCAAAAGAGAAGAGCGTGCGAGTCCCGCTGCCAGAGATGCTGTCCTGGGCCTGCACTGAACAGCCCACTGCCAAAACACTGTCAAGCAGCAGGAAGAACAAAACAGGCGGCTTTCAAATGAGGGAACAACTCAAGAGGACAACCCAAATGAGGGAACAACTCAAGAGGACAACCCAACTCTGCCAGCCCTCGGACCTTCCTCCTGGTGCCAGCACTCCCATCCTGCGGCCTCCACTTCCCAGGCTACAGATGCTCATTTGCAAGGACAACAGGCTCTCTGCACTGCCGCAAGTTTGGGAACTGCTGAGCTCCCTCTTCCACCACACGCCTGTCAGCCAAGTGTCCATGGCCTCTAGTTCTGTCCCCACTCTGTGAGCTGGCCGCGCAGAGTGGCCAGGCCTTCACGGCTGCCCCTGCCCTGCCGCCGCGCGCACGGCTCTCGCCCCGTGTTTATCTGAGCTGCTGGACACGGCCCTGGCCAGCGGCTGGGATGGGGCTACTGCAGTTAACCCCGGCCAGCTGGAGGCCTCCGCGGCCACCTTTCTGGCCGAGAGGCTGCCCACTTGCCGGGCAGCGCGCGGGGTGAGCGCACGGACGCCTCTCGCTGCTCCGGCTTTCCGAGCACTTGCCAGCTCTGGCCTAAAGGGCAAGTCTCTGTGGGAGCACCTGGCAAACGCTGCCCTCATGTTCAGCTCTTGGCTTCATGCTTGCACATCCAGGAGCTTTTACTCTGTGCATTGTTAGTAACGCCAGCCAATTTCTTTGGCTGGATAAGCTCTTCTCTGTCTTTAGCTTGATCCAAACAACTGGACAAAGTCCTTTTACTTCACGGTACTTGCCCAGAAATACTAGAATCTTTTGAGCAATTTAAGGCTTGAATGATCTGGACAGGTTGCACAGTTACTGAGAAGTAAACCTCGGAAAATTATGCACTGGGTGCATGCAGCCCATAAAGGCCCGTCCACTATCGCAGGCCAAGCGACTATAAAAGTTTAATTGTGTAACAGCAGATAGAATTCAGTTACTGGCTTTATGTGACAAACGAGTCCATAATTCATTACCCAACTTTCCAGTAACGAGCTTCCACAAGCTGAAATTCTGCTTACACTGAAATTCTCCAGATGTCCAAATTATGTCATAATTATAACAATTTTCAGTTATTGTAAACCTCTTTCCTCTCTCCGACTCTCCAGCAGATGAGCATGCCCACTTGGGCTCTCTATTTAAAGCAAGAGCATTAGCCATCAGGATACCTTGGCCAATCCCACACACTCATCATCAGCCCAATTAATCCCCAAGAACCACTGAGCACAATGGACGGAGAGAGAAACAGACACAGCAGCAGCTCCCTGGTTTTGGCCTTTCTCCTAAGGGAAGAGAGCGCTGGAGTAAGAAACTTTCCATACATTCTTGACTTTCCTTGGGTCACTTTTCGAGCCTATTTTTAGATTGACCTTTTAGTTCTGCTTTGATTATTTTTAGGAGGAAACTAAATCAAAGAATTATAACCCAATGGTGACTAAAAACAGTGAAAATCTCCTGGGAAAGCATGTAAGTGCAGTTCCTCAGTCACAAAATTATTAATTGGCCCAAGATAAGGTATAGGCTACCTGCAGAGAAATCTGCCCTTTCTCTTATTTGGGGTAGTTAAGCCTGAATAAGACTCTGGCTGCTTGTTTTCTCCCTGAACAATTCCCTTCCTTCCTGAGCTTCCAGGAGAGCACATTGGGTATCCTACATTACATACAGGGAGTTTTCGATCTCAATACAGCAGCTGCAGCAAGAAGAAGTCTTTATCATCAAGGACTTCCTCCAAAATTGCTCTAAGTTGATGTTTTGCAACAATGATTTTGTTACAAAATGCATGAATAGAAACTTAAACCCAGAGTTTTAAGCAGAAAGACTAGAAGTCCACTGTTTTTATTCCTTAGGGGGCCGCAAGTCCATTTCTCCTTTTCAAGTTATCTTTGAAGGCAACATCTGTAACAGACCTGTGGACCCTTGGCTCCCAGTCCTGTGTTAGCACAAGAGCAAGACACAACATTGTGAGCACGGCCAGGACAGCCACCTCGCAACAGGAAGAGGTAACTACTTGAGTGCAGTTATTTTTGCTTATTCAAGCCTGTCCCAGCTAAATGCAAGAACCTTTACGTACCCTCCAAAAATGAACCACTGGGAACTGCCTGGCACTGCACAGCAGTCCCTGTGCCAGTGGAGCAGTGAAGTCCCCACCCCAGCCCTGCGGGCTGGGAACAGGAGCTTAGCCCAGAGCGAGGCACAGCCCCAAGCCCCACGGCCAACTGCAGGGGCTCGGGGCGCGCGCAGAGAAGCAGCAGCTGTGCAATACTCACCAGTAGGAGTTGATGATTTTGCAGAAGGCCAGCTCGCAGCACATTTTCAGGTTGCCCTGATGTTCAGGAAGGTCCGAAGATGAACACTTACTGGGATCCACCTCACAGTTCTCATCTGATTCATACAGAGCCTTGATAAACTCCCCTGTAAAACAGTCAGTGATGGATTTTGGAGACACTGGAGAAGGATTCTACAAGCAAGACAGTTTGTGAGCGCAAAGCATTAGCCCAGCCCCTGTCACACTGAATGAACAGAGCTGGGAGTAAGGAAGGTGATGGGAGGTGGCTCTGGGGAGGAGCTGCTCCAGGCGGCCAGCACGATCCCGCGTGGATCCTGCTGCTGGGAGCAGCCTGCTGGGCCGCCCAAGCTCGCACGGCACTGGAGCAAGCCCTGCAGAAAGGCACCCACACCTGGGATGAGCAAGGCTGACCCTCTTCCCCTGCTGGCAGCTCTGTCTACATGGCTGAGGGCAATTGCATCAGAATTAGTGTGCCAAAAGACTGCTCTCCTCAGCCTGCCCTGCTCCCCTCAGATTATACCAATGTCAGAAACGTTCCCTTGGGCTACTCCAGCAGAAGTATGTTGGCAAGTTGTGTAATTATTTGTAAGATGTCCTGCTATGGCAGACTCTGCCTGTTACAGCACTCTGGCACTGATGAGCCAATGTGATTCACAGGAGAAATAGTTAATTAAAGGAAAGAAACAATTTTATTGGTTTATTTTGAGCTGAGCATCACACAAAATTGGATTAAAATATTTCTCCTAGTATCCCTGCACTCCTGCTTGCTGGCTGGCTGTTCCTCGCCCTCCCGGAGCAGCAGAGCAGCCCTCCTGCCCTGCAGCATCTCGCCCCCACGTCAGCGGTGCCTGGATTCCAATGGGAATTAGCAGGTAGGATCCAGCTGCTTCTGGGAGTGCTGGGGGCCCAGCAGCCTGGCCGTGTCCAGGGTGGACAGGGCCCGACACAGCGAGGGATGCGCTGCTTCCCAGAGCTGCACCGGGACCTGCAGGTCGGGGGCTGCTCTGGGCAAGGTTTCCATTCGTTGTCTCCTAGTTCCCATCAGAATTCCTGCCTCGGCCCACTCCAGCCTGTATTCCTCCCCTTCTATTGCCAAAACAGATTTAATTAAGTACCGGAGAGCCCGTCCAATGCACCTGCAGCTCCACCAGGGAGTTCAGGAGCCTTTCTGCTTGCCTGCTGTTACATCCTGCCCTATTACTCGCTCGTGCTGCGTGGTTTAAAGGAAAGCACCACACTGCATTGGGTTGCCTTGTGACATAAAGATGAATCATTTCACTGATAAAAGGTCTACACAGAATCAACGCCCCTAACAGCAAGCAGGAACCGCAGGCTCCTCCTATAGATGCAGCCAGTGTGGCAGCATTTGCATTGAGCCTTGGAAGGAGAGTATTACGAAATTGTCTTCTTTCATTAATCTCCTGGCTTTTTAGAAATTCAGTGAGATAATCTAGTTACAGACTTGCCTTCAAACAGAAAGCATTACAAGGCAGAAACACATAATCCCCCTTTTCCTCATCTCGTGGGGTCCACTGGTTTGACTGGCTCAATGATCTCCCATTCCTCAACTTATTATTGTTATATTAATAAAATATTTATTTTTTTTTTGCTCCTTCCTAAAATTACACAAATCCATTAGAAGGCATCTAACATAGTGAAAAATTAGCAGCTCAACAGAGCTAGAGCTCATCCTCCTGTGAGGACGTGCAGCTGGTCCAGCTGCCCGTGGACACAGCGCTGAGAGCCCCTCCTCGTGCCCGTCTTGCCTTGGCTCTCACTGCAGCTCCTTCCTGACCTACCCCGAAGCAGACACTCTAATTATTTTTGTTTGCATCAGGAGAAATATTTTTGGAGCCCTGAGCATAGCCAGCCCTTTAAAAAAAGCACCAGGAGGGTTCCTGATGGGAACTGGGAAGCAGCTCTCATCACTATGATTTGGGAGATTTCATCTGACTCGATAGCAGTGCGAGTAACCAAGGGGGGAAGCCTCTGTGCGCGGCTGTGCAATCGGGGAGGATTCAATGAGGCCTCGGTGACACTGCCAGCACGCAGACACACACTTGGCAAGCGCAAAATGCCTTCAAATACCACTTTGTTATTGCTTCTAGGGCCACCTAGAGCACGTATCCAAGAACCGTATTCTGCAGGTGAGACTTGCCCAGCGTCTGTACATACCTAAGGCATCTTGCAAGTACTTCTGCCCAACCAACTTCAGGTATTCTTCGATTGCTTTGGTGGCCAATGTATTCTCCCTGAAAATGAGATGCTCATTCTCACCACAGCGATCAACTTCAGACATCATCAGGTCAGTCAAGAAGTCCTGGAAAGCAAAGTCCATGGTGGGTCAGCACGTACTGACACACTCGGTGCAGCAGAGCAGAGCACACACCCGTCAAGAGGTCCCAACACGACACGCAGGTGCTGCTGCTGGCTCTCGGTGTGCGCGCGTCATCACATTCCTACCAGCCTGGCTTTTCTTCTCACAGAGAAATAAGCAGAGAACTAAATGTCCAGAAGAAGTCATTGCTTTTGCACTCCAAATACGTTACTCTTTCCAGTCATGCACCACATTAGCACCTCCATCCGTCCCAGTTCTAGGGAGGTCACATCTCAGCCTCCATCCACATTTTGTGGGCAGGCTTCACCCACTGCTAAGTGGCTGCATTTGGTATCTAACTGCACTGGTTGCAAATCAGCCACATACTTCTATGTCGTGAGCTGCGCCCCACAGTTAATGCCTGAGAATCAAGTCAGTAACATGCATCAAGATGCTCAAATGTCTCATTTACTTAGTATACATGAAAATAAACAGTGCTACTATAGTTCCATCTTGGGCACATTTTTGGTGCGATATCCATGGCATCGAATACCATGCAATTTTATCATCATCTGTGCTGCACAGTAATGGAGCTGCTAAGCAAGAGCAAATGCACACTGACAGCTGCCCTGTGTATCAATTTGGGCTCTTTGAATTGTAAATTTTAACATAAAAACCCCAGTTAAGAGTTCCATGTCTGCCTGGGCGAGGGCGTTGACTGAGCGGAGGGTGACGTGTTGTGATTCACCCCACGCATTCTGCTGCAAACCCACCGTGTGCTCCAGGATTTGCTGTGGTGTAGCTCGCATTAACACAGGACCATATAGTTTCCTACTGCTAATATATATTCAGTTCCTGTTCTCTGCACTAATGGGAAAAATCAAGTATGAAGCTCTGCTCAGCTCACAGTTGTGCTGATACCGAGGAGCCGACCTCCTCCCGCTCGGCACCACTCACCTGGATGGCAAAGAAGCTGCTGCGTAAATGATGCACGTTACAGCTCTGACTGTTTCTTCATGCAAGAAACAAGGATTTAAATTTACTTATATAACCACAGGCACTGTTTTTAAACTGTCTTCCTCTAAAACAAAATAATCAGCTTGGTAATAACCCTTCATTAAGGGTTATCTCGTTATCTGTCGTGACTGCACCGCATGTTAGGAATTAAGGGCGCAGAGGGGAGAAGCATCCAGGGCTGCCACCCAGCCTGGGCACGCAGGAAACCCAGGTGCCAGCAGCCGCCTGGGAGCTTTGCAGGAGAGCACTGCGTCTCCATCCGCGGTGGGGTTTGCTCTGTGCAGGGACACCCATTAACGTCGCATCAGAGTTTAAGGAATGACTCCACCGGGAGCGCGGCCTGTGCTCAGTCCCAAGGGTGACCTGCAAACAGGGCCTGCTCCTGGCACTCTCTCCTGGCCCATTTCCTGCCCACACCACTCACTGCCAAAGCCCGTCAGCTCCTGCATCTCTTGTGGACCAAGGAAAATCCGAGCTGCAGTCACCTCTGTTTTACGTCTAGAAAAGGGGGGCGAATCTCTCTGCGAATCCCATGGGGACGGGCAGCAGTATCACAGCTCGCTGCCCGCCGGGCTGACGGCCTGCTCTGCTCTTCTTTCCTAGCAAGATGAAACGCGTTCGCTGGCACAGAACGCAGCCGTGCGCAGCGCTGGCCTCGCGCTGGGCTGCAGCCCTGCCCTTCCCCGAGCTCCCCCAGGCCCCGCAGAGGGACCACAACGGGGCCATCACGGCGCCGCCACCTCCCAGACGTGTCCCTGTCACTGCTCCTTTCTCCAGCCGGGCGATCCCCTCCCTCAGGAGCCTCCTCTGGCAACATCCTGAAGGCAGGAGCCCCTGGGCACCAAGGCCCGGGCCTTCCTTCACTGCTCCCTCCGTTTTTGCCCCATCTCATCTGAGCTGAAAGGCAACTCGGAACCCCTGTTCACGCCGAGCCGCTCCAACTCCATCTGCCAGGTCCCTCCCGGGCTCGTTCCACTCCCATGCGGCGCTCGGGCTGACACAAGGTGCTGAGTCTCAATTAGCAGACACTGACCTTGGCTTTGCTCGATTCTCTCTCCTGTCACTTCCTCAACACACTAATTATCTCCACAACACGGAGGTTTAGAGCTCCTCTTGGCCAAGCAGGTGCCTTCTTTCCCCTCTTCAGAGGGGCCGCGGGCGGGAGCCGCCACACTCGGGTCACGACCGCGATGCCGCGACACAGCCTGGGGCGGGACATGGGCACAAGTCTTGATGCTGGTACAAACGGAGAGCCAGCTGTGAGCTGCTGAAAAGCAGGGCACAAGCTCTGGCCGTTTCTTCCATCATCTTCACCATTTTGACGATTTTATCTTATCTACAGCACCTACCAGAATTCAGAATGTAGCAAATATCCGCTTTTGTTTGAGCCAGCATGAAGCCAGATGAGATCCCTCTCCGACCTCGGCTGCTCTCCCATCGGGGACATCTGTGGTGACCTGGTCCCCAGGCAGAGGCAGCACTTGTGAGGAGCCCAGGGCCGGCGCCGCTCGCAGCCGGGCGCACAGCACAACCCACCCCGTGGAGCCGCGGCACCAGCGCGGCCCTCGCGGCCCGGGAGGACGCGGGGAGCCCAAACAACCACAGAGGTGGCCCTGGGCGAGCGCTCGGCACGGCCCTTCCCTCCCGGCCTGGCAAGGCCGCCGCCGCCTTCGCATGGAGCCTCCTGGGACACCTTGCGCTTTCCGTCTCGGGCCGCGGTCCAGGTCCTGCCCTGGCTCCACACAAGTCGCATCCGCTCTGCATCCCGCGCCTGGTGTCTGCTCCTCCAGAACGGGAGGAGCTGGAGGGAGACAGGGAGACGCAAACCGAATGCCAACACTCGCCAAATCCCTCCGGGGGCCTCACTCACCCACAAACAAGGCTCTGAATAAAATGCAATAACTAAAGCCAATAAAATTCCTTGTTTCTGAGCAGCAGAGATCAGCAGGAGGTTGTTTTTAGTTAGAGCCCCTGGCAATGTAAGAAAATAAGATGCTTTATTTCATTATTTCAGAGTCAAGAGGGGAAGGGGAAGTCTACAATAAAACTTAAGGGCAGCAGCAGAGTACTTCAGGGTTATTCCTGTGTTTATTTTAAGGATATTTGCTTGGGACTGGACACAGCTGAACCTGTGCAACTTCAGCCACTGCACCCATGCTAATATAGAGCAGCACTTCATAAATAAACAAACCCAGGGCATGGCAGCACGAGGCAGCACCAGCTTCCAGGACCCCTTCACACACACCAGGCGTGAGCTCAGTGCAGCAGGGCCTGTCCAGGGCAGCTCCTGCACCTTCCGAACCCGCAGGAGCGTCGGCGCCGCGGCCGGCCCTGGCCCCGGCACGTTCCCACACTGCGGACGGGACGGCCGGGGCAGGTTAACTGCTCCGCTCGCAGCCGGGAGGGGAAACCCCCCTGCGCAGGCAGGGCGGGAGCCGCCTCAGGAGGCTCCCAGGAGCTTGGACACCGCTGCCCTCCTGCCGTTTTCCACAGCACAAGAGCCACCCTCGAGCCACAGCAGCCCTGGGCAGGAGCCCTCCCAGGCACAGGGAGAAAGAGCGCGAGAAAGAGCAGCAAAAGAGGGGCACGAGTCCTGCCACACGCGCAGGAGGCGGCCCCTCCACCCCAGGACGCAGCTCCGCCGTGCCCAGTCCATGCCATGCCCAGCCCGGTGCAGCTTGGCACACGGGGCGCCGCAGGGCCCTGGCCCGGCTTCCGAACCGGCTCCCCTCTCCGGCCCAGCGTGTCGCTCCTCACATCACAACTGACTGACGTGCAGATTGACTTGGAAATAACGTTCTCCACGTCGCAAGCCTGATTAATAGGATTGACTTAGCCATAAGAGGATTGAATTGATAAAGATAATAAGATTACTGTGTATTTCAAAGACTAGCCCAGAGTCCAGCAGGGCCCTTTATGCAGAGGTGAAAAGACATTCTCAAGAGCTGAGGGCTGCAGATGAGGGGGGGATGAATGTCAGGGACCACATTCACAATTAGCTCAGCTATAGCAGCTATAAAATACTATCAGAGAGAGAAAGTCTTTGTGGGTGAGACGATATGGCTGCTGCCAGGCCTGCACGCACGCGGCGCCCCGCTTCGCTGCTCCCACTGCTCCCAGCTGTCCCGGGCCAAGGCCGTGTCCTCCTGGGCACCTTGGGTGCTGGCCAGGCCTGCCCAGCTCCTGTGTCCCAGGGGCTGCTGCCCCCCGCACCGTGGAAGCAGCTCTGCCCCACGCCTGGCCGGGCAGCCCCGCGGGGCCTGCGGCCGCTCGCAGAGGGCAGGCGCATCCATCTGCTGAGGAGAAGCAAATCCTCACAGCACAAACAAATCAGGGCGCATGTTTACCCTTCGCTCCACTCACACCACCATAAACGTGTATTTCAAGTAAGCAGCTGCTTAGAGCAAGCTCTGTCAGATGCCGGGTTTGATCTACCAAGCGCTTGGACAACAAAGTTTTTACACACTTATGATCATGAGCTGAGCTCCAGAAGTTGAAGGGCAGCCCAGGAGCAAGGCTAGACAAGGGAAAAACTCAGGCAGCAACAAAGTGGCCACCGGGCCGGCTTTGGGAAGGAGACGCCCACACACCCGTCACCGCAGC